CTCCTGGCCATAAGCAATCCTCCTGCCTCAGCCTCCCAAAGAGCTGGGATTACAGGTGTGAGCCATAGTACCCGGCCATGACTTTTGATTTTTATTATTCGAAAAAGTTTTATTTTTGGGCGGGGGCGGTGGCTCATGCCTATAATCCCAGCACTTTGGGAGGCCAAGGCGGGTGGATCACGAGGTGAAGAGATCGAGACCATCCTGGTCAAGAAGGTGAAACCCCGTCTCTACTAAAAATACAAAAATTAGTTGGGCATGGTGGTGCACACCTGTAGTCCTAGCTACTCTGGAGGCTGAGGCAGGAGAATTGCTTGAACCCAGAAGGCAGAGGTTGCAGTGAGCCGAGATCATGCCATTGCACTCCAGCCTGGGTTAACAAGAGCAAAAAAAAAAAAGAAATGGCCGAGTGCGGTGGCTCAAGCCTGTAATCCCAGCACTTTGGGAGGCCAAGCGGGTGGATCATGAGGTCAAGATATCAAGACCATCCTGGTCAACATGGTGAAAACCCGTCTCTACTAAAAATACAAAAAATTAGCTGGGCATGATGGGGCGTGCCTGGAATCCCAGTTACTCAGGAGGCTGAGGCGGGAGAATTTCTTGAACTCAGGAGGCAGAGGTTGCAGTGAGCTGAGATCGCGCTATTGCACTCCAGCCTGGGTAACAAGAGCGAAACTCCATCTCAAAAAAAAAAAAAAAGAAAAAAAAGAAAAAGAAAAATGAAACTTTTTCTTTTTTTTTTAGAGACAGAGTCTCACTGTGTCACCAGCCTGGAGTGCAGTGGTGTGATCTCAGCTCACTGCAACCTCTGCCTCCTGGGTTCAAGATATTCTCCTGCCTCAGCCTCCCAAGTAGCTGGAATTATAGGAGCCCGCCACCACAGCTGACTAATTTTTGTGTTTTTAGTAGAGATGGGGTTTTACCATGTTGGCCAGGCTGGTCTTAAACTCCTGACCTCAGGTGATCCGCCTACCTCAGCCTCCCAAAGTGTTAGGACTACCGGTGAGAGCCACTGTGCACAGCCTGCCCACCTAATTTCTGTATTTTTAGTAGAGATGAGGTTTCACCATGTTGGTCAGGATGTTCTTGATCTTATGACCTTGTGATCCACCCACCTTGGCCTCCCAAAGTGCTGGTATTATAGGCGTGAGCCATGGCGCCCAGCCAAAAAAGTTTCTTTTCATTTTATTTTTTTTGAGATGGAGTTTCACTCTTGTTGCCCAGGCTAGAGTACAATGGCATGATCTTGGCTAACCGTAACCTCCACCTTCCTGGGTTCAAGCAATTCTCCTGCCTTAGCCTCCCAAGTAGCTGGGATTACAGGCATGTGCCACCATGCCCAGCTAATTTTGTATTTTTAGTAAAGATAGGGTTTCTCCATGTTGGTCAGGCTGGTCTTGAACTCCTGACCTCAGGTGATCCACCCACCTCAACCTCCCAAAATGCTGGGATTACAGGTGTGAGCCACCGTGCCCAGACTTTCCAGATAATTTTTGTATTTTTAGGGCCGGGCACGGTGGCTCACGCCTGTAATCCCAGCACTTTGGGAGGCCGAGGCAGGTGGATCACGAGGTCAAGAGATCGAGACCATCCTGGTCAACAAGGTGAAACCCCGTCTCTACTAAAAATATAAAAAATTAGCTGGGCATGGTGGTGCGTGCCTGTAGTCCCAGCTACTCAGGAGGCTGAGGCAGGAGAATTGCCTGAACCCAGGAGGTGGAGGTTGCGGTGAGCCGAGATCATGCCATTGCACTCCAGCCTGGGTAACAAGAGCGAAACTCCATCTCAAAAAGATTAAAAAAAAAAGATCTTTAGGTCTCACAGCATGAACTCCTGAAAGTCTGCCTGGGAACGCACCATGTGAAGATTTTGGTGCTTTTCAACCTTCTTGGTATAAAGGTAAACGATTCTATTACCAGGGGTTTGGGACATCTTAGTTTAGTTAGAGGTTTCTTGTTAGAGGCCTACAATGGTATGTCACCTGCTGGCCCATTCTGCATACCTCTAGGCAACATCCATGAAGAGCAAGGAGCTTTTTAAAGACAATTCCCTGATTCTGTTTCTCCTGTCCACATTCCCTTCTCCCCTCCACGAAAAGCCTTGGTGTTCAAACAGGAGGCAGAACTCACCGCTTCAGGACGAGGTTCAGCAGGTAAGCAACGGCAGCCAGGGACTCCGGGGACTCCACTGCTTCCATTGTTGTCATCTGAGGGCCAGATCAAGGGGGTGTGAATTGATAAAACCTTATACTGAGTAGCAGGAAAGAGAGTGGGGGAACATGTGCCCAGCAGAACAGTTATGACCAAGAACCACAGTATCTGAGGTTCAAATCCTGGCTCTGTCACTATGTGGCTCTGGGATAGTAATTTAACCTATCTATGCCTCAGTTTCTTCCTTTGTAAAGTAGGGATAGTAATGCTACATACCTTATAAGTTGTTGTGATGTTTAATTGAATTTATATATAATACTGCCTGACACATAATTCAAACTATATATATGTATATGTCCATATATATATACAAAGATTGATAGAGAGATAGTTTTTTTGAGAGACAGGGTCTCAAGAGACACTGTACTCCCAAGTTGGAGTATAGTGCTATGATCATAGCTCACTGTAACCTTCAACTCCAAAGCCCAAGAGATCCTCCCACATCAGCCTCCCAAGCAGCCAGAATTACAGACATGTGCCACAAAGCTTTGCTAATTATTTTATTTTTTGTGGAGACAGGGTCTCACTGTATTGCCCAGGCTGGTGTCAAACTCCTAGCTTCAAGGACTCCTCCCACCTTGGCCTTCCAAAGTCCTAGGATTAAAGGCACAAGTCACCATATCCGGCCAAAAACCATATATAGCCATCTAATTTATTTCATCATTCTAGAGCAGAAGTTTACAAACTTTTTCTATGAAGGACCAGAGAGTAAATATTTTCAGCTTTGCATGCACATATGGTCTCTGTTGTATTATCTTTTCGTGTGTGTTTTAAAATTCTTAAAAAATGTAATAACTGGGCTGGACATGGTGGCTCATGCCTGTAATCCCAGCACTTTGGGAGGCCAAAGTGGGAGAACTGCTTCAGTCCAAGAGCTCAAGACCAGCCTGGGCAACATGGCGGAACTCCATCTCTACTAAAAATACAAAAATTCACTGGGCGTGGTGGCACAAGTCTGTAATCCTGACTATTCAGGAGGCTAAGGCACAATAATCACTTGAACACAGGAGGTAGAGGCTGCAGTGACCCATGATCACATCACTGCACTCCAGCCTGGGTGACAGAGGCCCTGTCTCCAAAACAAAACAACAAAAAGCCCAAAAATAAAATAAAAATTATATATACATATACCCATACACATACATATTTAATGTAATAAGTAGGCCAGGCATGCTGGCTCACACCTGTAATCCCAGCCCTTTGGGAGGCTGGTGGGTGGATGACCTGAGGTTAGGAGTTCGAGATCCGCCTGGCCAACATGGTGAAACCCCCTATCTACTAAAAATGTAAAAACCGCAGGGCGCGGTGGCTCACGCCTGTAATCCCAGCACTTTGGGAGACCGAGGCAGGTGGATCATGAGGTCAAGAGATCGAGACCATCCTGGTCAATGTGGTGAAACCCCGTCTCTACTAAAAATACAAAAAATTAGCTGGGCACGGTGGCGTGTGCCTGTAATCCCAGCTACTCAGGAGGATGAGGCAGGAGAATTACCTGAACCCAGGAGACGGAGGTTGTGGTGAGCCAAGATCAAGCCATTGCACTCCAGCCTGGGTAACAAGAGTGAAACTCCGTCTCAAAAAAAAAAAAAATAGCTGGGTTTGGTGGTGTGCACCTGTAGTCCTAGCTACTCGGGAGGTTGAGGCAGAAGAATCGCATGAACCTGGGAGGCGGAGGTTGCAGTGAGCCAAGATTGTGCCATTGCACTCCAGCCGGGACAACAGTGCGAAAGTAGTAAGTAGCCAGTTGCAGTGGCTCACACCTGTAATCCCAACACTGTGGGAGGCCCGCAGGAGGACAAGACTGTTTGAGCCCAGGAATTTGAAACCAGCATGGACAACTCCAGTCTGGGTGACAGAGTGAGACTCCATCTCAAAAAAGAGGGGGGAGGGGAGGGGAGGGGAGGGGAGGGAGGGAGGAGCAGAGGGGAGGGAGGGAGGGAAGGAAGGAAGGAAGGGAGGGAGGGAGGGAGGGGAAAGGAAAAGGAAAGGAAAAAGAAAAGGAAAGGAAAGGAAAGAGGCCAGGGGCGGTGGCTCATGCCTATAATCCCAGCACTTTGGGAGGCCGAGGAGGGTGGATCACGAGGTCAAGAGATCGAGACCATCCTGGTCAACATGGTGAAACTCCGTCTCTACAAGTGCGCTTGTAGTCCCAGCTACTCGGGAGGCTGAGGCAGGAGAATTGCTTGAACCCAGGAGGTGGAGGTTGCAGTGAGCTGAGATCGCGCCATTGCACTCCAGCCTGGGTAACAAGAGTGAAACTCCATCTCAAAAAAAAAAAAGAAAGAAAAGAAAGAGAAAACAGAAATGCAGCAAATACCACTCCAACCTTTCTAAGCCACCTGAGAATAACTTAAACACTTTCACCTGGTCAAGGGCATCCTTCTCTAATACCACAGGCCAGGGGCACTCATCCTCTCTCTAAATCTTGCATAACCTGCTGCTCTGAATACCCACCCTCAAGTGGCACCCACTCACCAGAGCAGCAAAGTACTCGGTCTCCGTCTCCTTCCCTCCCTGGGAGCGAATCACCTCAGTGACAGCAGCCAGAACAGCACAGATCTGCACAGGAGGGAGAAAGCACTGTGACTATTTGAGACCTAACCCCACCCCAGGGGAGCCTCCTTTCCTTGCTCCTTCACAGATTAGTCTCCAGGTAAAGCCCAGAGACAGACAAGATATGCAACATTGAGAGCCTGGGTATATACCAGGGGCCTAGCAAGTAAGACAACTCAGAAAATGCTTGCTGAAATTCCACCATGAGGACACTATCCCTGTAGAAATACCTGCATGATGAGTCTGCAAATATTTATGTACAAGGATATTCACGGCAGCAACAAATTAGAATGGTCAACCAGCCATCACCAGGAGATTAATAATGTTCTGCAGTTATCCAGGGGGATGTTGGTTCCAGGACCCCTGAAGGTACCAAAACCTGAGCATGTTCAGGTCCCTTATATAAAATGCTGTAGTATTTGTGCATAACCTATATATATCCTCCCATATACTTTGTGTTCTTTTTGAGACAGTGTCTCACTCTGTCACCCATGCTACAGTGCAGTGGCATGATCTCAGCTCACTGCAACCTCTGCTTCTGGGTTCAAGCCAATTCTCCTGCCTCAGCCTCCCAAGTAGCTGAGATTACAGGTGTTTACCACCATGCCCAGCTAATTTTTCTATTTCTAGAATAGAGTTCAGGACCATGTGACCAAGCTGGTCTTGAACTCCTGGCCTCAAGTGATCCGCCCTCCTCAAGTGCTTGGATTACAGGTGTGAGCCACCTTACCTGGTGTATTATTTTCGCCAGGCACATTGGCTCATGCTTGTAATCCCAGCATTTTGGGAGGCCGAGGCGGGCAGATCATGAGGTCAGGAGATCAAGACCATCCTGGCCAACATGGTGAAACCCTGCCTCAACTAAAAATAAAAAAATTAGCTGGGCCTGGTGGCACATGCCTGTAATCCCAGCTACTCGGGAGGCTGATGCAGGAGAATCGCTTGAACCAACGAGTCGGAGGTTGCAGTGAGTGGAGATCATGCTACTGCACTCCAGCCTGGGCAACAGGGCGAGACTCCATCTCAAAAAAAAAGATTTTTAATCCACTCTTGGTTGAATCTGCAGATGGAGAACCTGCAGATATGAAGACCTGACTGTATCATTATACAATAAATAATGAAAGATTTAAATAGTGTGTTATTCAAAAGAATGAGAACAACTATATATTAACTTTTAATACTGTTCAGTGGAGAAAAAGTTGCAGAACAGTGGATAGAAAATAAACTAATCAGGCAGGGGCACAGTGGCTCACGCCCGGTAATCCCAGCACTTTGGGAGGCTGAGGTGGGCAGATCCCTTGAGCCCAGGAGTTTGAGACCCGTCTGGGCTATATGGCAAATCGCGCCTCTATAAAAAATACAAAAATTAGCTGGGCATGGTAGTACTCCCCTGGAATCCCAGCTACTTGGGGGCGCTGATCAGCTCCTGCACTCCAACCTGAGTGACAGAGTGAGACTTTGTCTTAAAAAAAAAAAAGAAAAAAAGAAAAGAAACTAATCACATTTTGGTAGACCTAAATAACAAAATGGGTATAAAAAATATTTTCTTTTCGTGGCTCGGTTCAGTGCTTTGGATCAGTTTCCATCGGTTCTAACTGCTCGTCAGACCCTAGCAGCCAAGATGGCAAGCAGATCGACAGCAAGGATGCTTTTCAGGAAGCCATGGATGCCGCAGGTGATAAACTTGTAGTAGTTGACTTCTCAGCCACGTGGTATGGGCCTTGCAAAATGATCAAGCCTTTTTTTAATTCCCTCTCTGAAAAATATTCCAGTGTGGGATTCCTTGAAGTAGATGTGGATGACTGTCAGGATGTTGCTTCAGAGTGTGAAGTCAAATGCATGCCAACATTCCAGTTTTTTAAGAAGGGACAAAAGGTGGGTGAATTTTCTGGAGCCAATAAGGAAAAGCTTGAAGCCACCATTAATGAATTAGTCTAATCATGTTTTCTGAAAACATAACCAGCAGTGGCTATTTAAAACTTGTCTTGTTTTTAATTTACAAAAAATGTAAAGTATAAAGACTACAAATCCAATTGTCATCTGAGTGACAATAAATCATTAATTCACACACTTAAAAATAAAAAAACATTTTCTTTTCTTTTATTTCTTTTTTCTTTTTTTTTGAGACGGAGTTTTGCTCTTGTTACCCAGGCTGGAGTGCAATGGCGCGATCTTGGCTCACCGCAACCTCTGCCTCCTGAGTTCAGGCAATTCCCCTGCCTCAGCCTCCCGAGTAGCTGGGACACAGGCGTGTGCCACCATGCCCAGCTAAATTTTTTTGTATTTTTAGTAGAGACGGGGTTTCACCTTGTTGACCAGGATGGTCTCGATCTCTTGACCTCGTGATCCACCCGCCTCGGCCTCCCAAAGTGCTGGGATTATAGGCATGAGCCACTGCACCCTCAGCCTCCCAAAGTGCTGGGATTATACGCATGAGCCACTGCGCCCGGCCTTTTTTTTTTTTGAGACCGAGTCTTGCTCTGTTACCCAGGCTGGATTAAAGTAGTGCAATCTTGGTTCACTGCCACCTCTGCCTCCAGGGTTCAAGCAATCCTCAAGCCTCAGCTTCTCAAGTAGCTGGGATTACAGGTGCATGCCACCATGACAGGCTAATTTTTCAGTAGAGACAGGTTTTCACCATGCTGGCCAGGCTGGTCTCAAACTCCTGACCTCAAGTCATCTGCTCACCTCGGCCTCCCAAAGTACTGGGATTACAGGTGTGAGCCACTGTGACCTGCCTGAAAATTAAATTTTTTTTGTGTGTGTGTTTTTTTTTTGAGATGGAGTTTTGCTGCTGTTACTCAGACTGGAGTGCAATGGCACGATCTTGGCTCACCGCAACCTCTGCCTTCTGGGTTCAAGCAATTCTCCTGCCTCAGCCTCCCGAGTAGCTGGGACTACAGGCGCACACCACCATGCCCAGCTAATTTTTGTATTTTTAGTAGAGACAGGGTTTCACCTTATTGACCAGGATGGTCTCGATCTGTTGACCTTGTGATCCACCCGCCTCAGCCTCCCAAAATGCTGGGATTATAGGCATGAGCCACTGCCATGCCCGGCCTAAAAATTTAATTTTTAAATTTTAATTACTCATAATTTAAAACACTTCATCTATTTACTAGGAAACATATATTTGTAACAACCTGGTGAATAGGTTTGTAGTAATTCATAGCAGGCAAATCTACTTGTGCAATGATAAATGTCATGAACTCTAAATACATTAAAATCAAGTATTTCCAATGAAAATTTAACATCTAGGCCGGGAGCGATGGCTCATGCCTATAATCCCAGCACTCTGGGAGGCTGAGGTGGGTGGATCACGAGACAGCAAGTTCAAGACCAGCCTGGCCAAGACAGTGAAACCCTGTCTCTACTAAAAATACAAAAAACTAAATCAGGCGTGGTGGCAAGCGCCTGTAATCCCAGCTACTCAAGAGGCTGAGGCAGAGAACTGCTTGAACCTGGAAGGCAAAGGTTGCAGTGAGCTGAGATCACACCACTGCACTCCAGTCTGGGCAACAGAGCGAGACTCTGTCTCAAAAAAAAAAAAAATTTAGCATCTAAGTAGAGGTATATGGGTAAATTATACACTAGATTTTGAAGACTTCCTATCATAAAAATAATGCTGTAGTGAAATATATTGATTATACATTGAAACGGTAATATTTTAAAGATACTGAGTTAAGGCCAGGCGTGGTGGCTCACACCTGTAATCCCAGCACTTTGGGAGTCCAAGGCAGGTGGATCATGAGGTCAAGAGATCAAGACTGTCCTAGCCAACATGGTGAAACTTCATTTCTACTAAAAATACAAAAAATTAGCTGGGTGCTTGTAGTCCCAGCTACTCAGAAGGCTGAGGCAAGAGAACCGCTTGAACCCAGGAGGCAGAGCCGAGATTGCGCACTCCAGCCTTGGTGACAGAGTGAGACTCCGTCTCCAAAACACACACACAAAACAAGAAAAAAAGATACTGAGGTAAATAAAGTATACTGTTAAGATTAATTTTACCTGTTTAAGTTTTTAATATGGCTACTAAAAATTTTTAAATTAGGCCAGTAGCAGTGGCTCACGCCTTTGGGGGTCACCTGAGGTCAGGATTTTGAGACCAGCCTGGCCAACATGGAGAAACCCCATCTCTACTAAAAATACAAAAAAAACTAGCCAAGCATGGTGGTGCATGCCTATAATCCCAGCTACTTGGGAGGCTGAGACAGGAGAATCTTGAACCCAGGAGGTGGAGGTTGCAGTGAGCCGAGATCACGCCATTGTACTCCAGCCTGGGTAACAAGAGCGAAACTCTGTCTCAAAAAAAAAAAACCACAATTTTTAATTACATATGTGGCTTGAATTAAGATTACTATTGGACAGAGCTGGTCCAGGAAGACAGACCATGACACATTAACAGTAGCTACTGTGAAAGACTCAAGTTGGGGGAACAACCATCACATTTTATTCTTCTTCTATCATTTTAGTATTTAGAATTTTTACTTTTTTATTTCAATAACAAAAAATATACATAACTTTAAAGTATAGATAACATAATAAAAGTAAATAAAATTTAGTTCTTGCTAGATAAAACGTTTCCTAATCACTGTTACTGGGCATTTATTAACTCAACATATGCTTATTGAAAAAACTCTCTGTACAAAGTACTGTGTTAGGTAAAGCTGAGGAGAGAAATTTTTGGAAAATATTTCTACCCTCAAGTACTTTACACTTCAGCAGGGGAGATGTTCTTATAAAAAGCATCAAGTGGGCTGGGCACGGTGGCTCATGCCTGTAATCCAAACACTTTGGAGGCTGAGGTCGGGAGTTCAAGACCAGCCTGACCAACATGGTGAAACCCCATCTTAAAAAAAAGCATCACGTGGAACCCGCCCTAGGAGGGAACATAAAGAGAAGAGAAATGACACATCATCCAGAAATACCAGCTGTTGTCACGGGAGACCAGTCAGCCAGAGCTGAAGAAAAGGCATGAGTTGGCCCCTCCTCACCGTTCCATGGTCCTCCTGACCCTCGCCCCTACCTCCTTGTGGGCAGCCGAGTTGGACTCCCAGAAGCGCTGCACTTTGCTGAAGGTGACGTTTGTGCAGTCGGAAAGGCCACTCAGGAAGGTACCTGAGGACTTCTCGGTGACAGCCAGCTCCGCCTCTTCTTCCATGGGCGTCTCAGGGGCTTCCCTTTTGCCCAGGCGCAAGGACCCTGACTGCAGCTCATTATGTAACTTCACAGCATCGACTGTCAGGTCACTCCTTCCTGAGAGCCAGAGGCACAAGATAAGGCCCAAGCCTCCTTTTGGTCAAGAGAACAGAACAACCCCAGGGAAACAAACGATCCCAGCCCAAGACTCCAACCCGAGAGGCTGAATTCTGCCTCATAAACCCATTGCATGCCTAAAACTTGAAAACCCAAGGAGAAAGGGAATCCTCCGTGTAAAAGTTTCCGCTTCCCTGTAGCAATGGCATAAACGCCAGTGGGAATCAGCTGGAACTACATTCAGAGAACCTAGAAAATAAATGAAGGTGAATGCGGTCTATAAAGAGCCATCCAAGGTTCATTACAGCCATGAGTCCCAACTCTGACACCTGCAGTACCTTACACAAGACATTTCCCTACTGCGGACCTCAGTTTCCATATATCTGCTAAATTGGTACGGTTGCCCTTCAGAGCGAGCTCCAGATCCGACATCCTAAGAAATGGAAGTTCCAGTGCCTGGCCCCGGACTCTCCCAGAGGCCCCAGACTCATCTGGACCCAGGTGTGCCCGGAACCCCACCGACGGCTGCGCTCGGGTCCCAATCCAGCTACCTGACGGCCGGCTGAAGAAGCGGCTGCGGGCGGCCTGGCGGTGGCGGCAGATGACGGGGTTGCTGTCGCTGCTGTGGCCTTTCTTCCAGCGCTTCAATTTAGCTGAGACACCAGAGGGCAACTTCCCCGAGCGACCCATATTGACTAAGCCGTGGCTGGGAGTGAACCTAAAGGACCAGTTCCCAGGTACTTAGAAACACGCTCAGAACCCACGTGGATACCCTGTACCCTTCACTTCCTCTTCTTCTGGCGTCACTTCCGGATTCGTGCCTATTACTATGGTAAAGCAATCAACATCCGGTTTTACGCCTCCTCCTCCTCCTCCTCCTCCTCCTGGTTTTGGATTTGGGGGAGCTCCAAGGAGATCCGTTGCTACGGAGGACGTTAGGTTGTTACGGGTTCTCTGGGCTTCTTACTCCAGCCTGGACCAGGTTTCAGGACCATAGGAGTGAGTGAGCCTTAAAAAACTGGAGTTAATGGCCGGGCGCGGTGGCCCAAGCCTGTAATCCCAGCACTTTCGGAGGCCGAGGCGGGTGGATCACGAGGTCAAGAGATCGAGACCATCCTGGTCAATATGTTGAAACCCCGTCTCTACTCAAAAATACAAAAAATTAGCTGGACATGGTGGCGCGTGCCTGTAATCCCAGCTACTCAGGAGGCTGAGGCAGGAGAACTGCCTGAACCCAGGGGGCCGAGGTTGCGGTGAGCCGAGATCGCGCCATTGCACTCCAGCCTGGGTAACAAGAGCGAAACTCCGTCTAAAAAAAAAAAAAGAAAAAGAAAAGGAAAAAACTGGAGTTCAGGCCGGGCGCGGTGGCTCACGCTTATAATCCCAACACTTTGGGAGGCCGAGGCGGGTGGATCACGAGGTCAAGAGATCGAGACCATCCTGGTCAACAAGGTGAAACCCTGTCTCTACTAAAAATACAAAAATTAGCTGGGCATGGTGGTGCGCGCCTGTAGTCCCAGCTACTCGGGAGGCTGAGGCAGGAGAATTGCTTGAACCCAGAAGGCAGAGGTTGCGGTGAGCCGAGATTGTGCCATTGCACTCCAGTCTGGGTAACAACAGCGAAACTCCCTCTCAAAAAAAACAAAAAAACAAACAAACAAAAAAATGAGTTCAGCTGGTCGCGGTAACTCATGCCTGTAATCACAGCACTTTTGGAGGCTGAGGTGGGTGAATCATTTGAGGTCAGGGTTGGAAACCAGCCTGAC